TATTTGGTGCAAGCTCTCTGAATAGTCATTATATGGCAACTGTTGGGCTGCCCTGTGTGTAACCCTAGGCAGAGCTGACCTCAGGCTGAGGAAAGTAGATAAGTTTTGGCCTGCAAGACAGTGAATGTCTGGCGCGCATAGGAGTCACAGTTCCTGCAACAACTCATCGCAAGTCAAATTAAGGGAATAATGCAAGCCTAGTAGATATTTAATGAGAGATTATTTCTAGAGATTATAAAGATACAGAAATTGCAAATAAATCCCTGACCTTTCCTGAGCCTTGGCTCAGTGAAAGAGCTGAATCACCTGCTTGAGGGGATTAAGAAGAACCGCTTCCATCTGTCGGGCTGCTCAGACTTTTTCTGTCATTAGCAACTGTTCGGCGGTGATCCTCTCCTAAACCTTTTAGTGGGAACTCGATTTTCAGAGTTAGGAGGTCTCAATTAACTTAGATTAGGAACCTGCTAGGCAGAGATCAGGACGAATGATCGGCTAATGTATGCACTGCCTATCATATTAGTGGTACTCAGGACACATTAAATAAAGCAGTTTTTAATCATTTGTAACCTAATCATGACATCAGCAGGAAACTCAGGTTGATGAGAGTAGAAGTCAAACCTGTGAGAGAGTAATAGGCACAGATGGAGAGACAGAGCTGCAGGGAAGTGTGGGGCCGCAGGTAGCGATGTACCTTATAGCTGTTTCAGCTTAGAGAGCTACAGCAACGGTGATACAATTGTACTTCATGAGTTTCTTGTTGGATACAGTGGTTTGACATGCATCTCATTTCTTAACACAGTTTTATCTGTTTATAACTGCAATAATTATCATCATCATGCAACATAACAGGCCAGCAATTACCTAGAGCTCTTAATATTTGACTTTGCAATATGTAAGCAACATATACATTTTAACTACTATATACTAGTGAGTACTACCTTATCTGCGTTATGTGTAAGGCCTTTATGTGTAATATCTGTGTAAGATTTATTTAAAGAAGGTGTTTGCTGGCTTAGGACAAATTGGAGAACGTCTGATGCTGGGAAAATCAAAGGATGAGCATTTACTCAGATTTCAGGGGAAGCGGTGGGGGTGGGGGTGGGGGTGGAGGACTGTGCTTTGCTGATTTCCAAAAGTAGTAATTGTAGTTAATGTAGGTTAGTGGAATTTAATTTAATTTTTTGGCAATGCACTTAGAAGGTTCTATTGTATTCTTTTCTATTACCTGTTTCTTACTGAGGACAGGACCTTGCTTCCCACAGTTCCACATGAAAAGACTGAGTTCCCTCTCTAAGGCTGTCTGGCTATGTCATTTCTTTAGCTACTTGTGCTAATGAATTTTTGAGTATGTATCTTCCTGCGACTGGGCGCATCACTGTCAGCTGCCAGGCTATTTCTAATTTTCAAAACTTTAGTCAGTGTTCACAGGGTAAGGAAGCAAAATAGTAATTTTTCTGAGCAGAAGTTCATTGATGCTGTGTTCACAAACCTACTCTTAAAACATCCAAGTTTGGAATCAGCCCTGGCTGCTCACCCAACACTATACAAAATGACAGTTCTCTCTTAGACGTCTATGACTCTCATCCCTATGCAAGGATCCTCTTAAGAACCTCTCAAAGGAAGAACTAAAAGGCTTCCACTGACTGTTGAGTCAGTTATGAACATTTTGGAAACCTTAAGTATAAAAAGTAATTTCCCCTCTGACAAATACATTCTAGTAGGCTCTATATAAATTACTGTGAAAAAGGAAGAAAACCCTCCTCTGTGTCCAAAAAGATGCCCAAGATCCTTAGTCATCAGGGAAATGAAGTCAAAGCCACAATGAGATACCACTTCACACCCACTAGAATGGCTATAATAAAAAAGACAATAACAAATGTTGGCAAGGATATGGAGAAATTGGAACCCTCATTCATTGCCAGTGGGATTGTAAAATGGTGCAGTGCTTTAGAAAGCAGTTTGGCAGTTTCTTAAAAAAGTTAAGCATAGAGTCGCCATGTAACCCAGCAATTTCATTCCTAGGCATATATTGAAGAGAAATGAAAGTATGCCCACACAGAGACTTGTACACAGATGTTCTTAGCAGCATTTATTCATAATAGCCCAAAGGAGGAAGCAGCAGCTGATGAGTAGATTCAGGAAATGTGGTCTATCTAACAATAGAATGGTATCTATAATAATAAAAGTGTAAGATGCTAATTAGACCAGATATCTGTATAGACACCCTTTCTTCAGGACAAAGCTGCAAGGGGGGAGGGGTTGGCAGAGGTGCCAGAGGCCCCTGGCCAAGGGGCAGTGAGCAGGGGCCAAGGCTGAGGCAGAGGTGGCAGAGGGCCCTGGCTGTGGCAGTGGTGGCAGCGGGGGCAGTGGTAGCAGGGGCCGAGGCCAAGGCCCTTGCACGAATTTTATGCATTGGGTCTCTAGTTTCATCACAAAAGAATGATGTATTGATGTTAACAGCAGAGAAGTATCTTGAAAATATTATGCTAAATGAAAGAAGCTAGACACAGAAGACCACATGTTGTATGATTCCAGTTACATAAAATGTTCAGAATAGGAAAATCTACAGAGGCAGAAAATATATTAGTGGTTTCTAGAGGCAGGAATAAGGGGGAAATAGAGTGACTGCTAATGTGTATGAGTTTTTTGAAGGGGGAAATGAAAATGCTATAGAATTTGATAGTGGTAATTAATTGATAACTTTGTTAATATGCTAGAAATTAATGAATTGTGGGTTAACTCTGTGATATGTGAATTATATTTCAATGAAGCTATTTTAAAAAATCTTTTCCTCGGTTTCAATAGTTATTTGGCCTGTGTATTATAATTTGTTATTAAGTTTAGGAAATATCTATGGCATGAGTTAATTGAGTTTCACTTGGAAAAATAATTTTGATTTGGCTTCAGCTTCCAGTCAGAAAGCCCAATATAACACAATTTGCAAAGTAAATACTTGGTTCATACTAGAAAAGCAAGGGATTGATTTATTAGGCTTTTTACAGCTTTAAGGGAATGTAAGAGCAATGTTTTGTATAGCAGTTGGTTTCTAGGTAGAAAAGCACTCTTTTCCTCCTTTTCTAGTACTTTACTTACTATCCTAGAGACCAAGTGGTTTGTAATCAGTACCACTAAGCACTAAGCTTGCATGTAAGAACAAGAGTTATTTCCCTTTGGGAAGAGAAGTTTGGGGAAATTAGCATTCTAATTTGATTTGGATAATTGTCATTGATTTTTTAAAAAGGGTTTTTATCTTCACTGGATCTAAGTTTGCTCATAGACATTAAGAATTGGAGAAAGATTCCATTTGGATTAGATCCAAGAGGAGTTCCAGTTCTGCTCAGTGCTCAGAGTGTGCAAGTTTATTTCTTGCCCTGGGATGATGACAAATCACTTATAATACTCATCTTCCTACCTTTTGCCATTTCCCTCTCTACTCTGAACATTCATTTGTAGAATGTTTTTTCCTGATATCCCAAGGAGGTCAAAGATGAACCCATTCTTAAAGATGACCACACAGATCTTATTACTGGCTAAGAGAGCGTGGGGATGAATTTTGAAGGGTTTCCAGCTTCGTTATCAGGGTGGGAATTAGTTCTGTGCTGTGGAAAATGCTGCTACTGTTGATCTACTGTTTTCTGAGTGACATTAGTGGGTTTGGGAGCTGCTGAGTTACCACAGAGAGCACACAGAGGCTGACTCTACTTCCTGCCTTAGTTCCTCTGCCTCAGGTAGCTTCTCTGTTTAATTTTCTTCCGGGTCTTTTTTCTTCTTCTTCTTCTTTTCTTCTTTCAGAGGCTGAACTTCGCTACTTCTCTGCGAAGAAGCTTCTCTTTTCGTCTCGGGTGCGGGGGGGTTGTTCCTCTCCCTTCTCTTCGTCTTTTCTATCTTCGTCTTCCTTCTTTCTTTCTTCTTTTCGCCTCCTTCTTCTTCTTCTTTCTTCTTCTTCCTCCTTCTTTCTCTTCTTCTTCTTCTTCTTCTTTTGCTTCTTCTCCTTCTCTTCCTCCTCTCCTCCTCCTCCTTCCTCCTTCCTCCTTCTCCTCCTCCTCTCGTTCCTCGTCCCTCTTCCGCCTTCCCTCTTCCCTCTTCCCCTTCCTCCTCTTCCTCCTTCCTCCTTCCTCCTTCTCTTCCTCCCTCTTTCCCCTTCCTCCTCCCTCTTTCCTGTCCCTTCCTCCCTTCTCTTCCCGCTTCCTTCCTTTCTTCTTCTTCTTCTTTCTTTCTTTCTCTTGTTTTTCTTTTTTCTCTTCTTTCTTCTTTTCTTTCTCTGTCTCTTTTTCTTTTTCTCTCTTCTTCTTTCTTCTTTCTTCTTTCTTCTTTCTTCTTTCTTCTTTCTTCTTTCTTCTTCTTTCTTCTTCTTTCTTCTTCTTTCTTCTTCTTCTTTCTTTCTTCTTTTCTTCCTCCCTGAGCAGGAGTTTATTTCTCTCTTTAATCCAGAGTCACATTTAAGGCAGTTGGTTAAACGGGTTCTGGGGTGAGTCTCCCATATATTAGACCTGCAACTTTGGTCAAGATACCTAGCTTTGCCAAATCTCAGTTTCTTCATCTTTAATATGAAGCCAATGATAGAATCAGCCTAGAGGATTTGCTTAGGAAAAAATGAAATAATCTATGTCAATAACTTCTCCAACATTTATGCTTTTTGAAGGTGACCAACAAACAGTTAGTCTTCCAGCTTCTGATATTAACCAAACAATTTAAAGGATGCCTAGTTATTCTTTTGGTATGCTGCTCATCACTGAATGCTACAGTTTCTTTAACTATACTTGCAGAGTTACTGTGAAATTTAAATGAGATAATATACACAAAACACTTATAACTGTACCCAGCATGTGGTAAGCTCTTAGTGAATAATAGCTAAAAAATTATTCCCATGCCCATTTTGGGAAAAATTAAAAGGATATGTGGCTACACCATGGGACTGAGTCATCTTGGGTTGGTCATGCCTTGTCCCAAGGTTGGTTTGTGCTGCCAGAAACTTGAACTCTATACTCTCCCTCTTTCAGCTGCACAGTTGGACAGCATTGGCTTCAGCATAATCAAGAAATGCATCCACGCTGTGGAAACCAGAGGTATGTAGTTCAACAAATGACATTGTTCTCAGCAAAGGCCACACATTTAGACAGGTGTCAGACCTGAGACCTGCTACCTGCTGATTTCCAATTTTAAGTGACTCATGAATCCCCAAGTCCCATGGCCAGTGTGTTTCTATGAGTTGTGTTGCAGAGGCTCTCAACAATTTGGTGTCGTTGACTGCTTTGATCTGAAGAAAGCTTTAAATGCATACATATCAAATACTTGGGATTGAAAGGAAACCAATTACTAAAGTTCAGTTATTAAAGTACTAATAATATATGTTGTGATGCAGTAATATGTGTTTCTTTGTTAACACTTTAAATAAGTGGTGGTTGATAAGTTGCTCCATTCAGAAATATTTCAAGGTGTCTGTAACAGTTGTAATATGTTATGAAAACACCTGTGACTTCTGACCAAGTTGCAGGCACTGCTGAATCTACTATGATTTGTTGCTTATATTGTAATGGAAGGGAAATGCTTAATTTTCATTTAGAAGTTAGTGAAAATAAAGCTGTAATTGTGTTCCTCAGTTCATAGACACCCTGAATTCTGTAGTGGACCTCTTAATGACCATGGACCCTAGGTGAAGAACCTGCTCTGGGAGCTTGTTGCTTGGGACCATCCAGGCAGAAGGAAATGTCCAGGCCCCTAGTTTCCTGCAGTGGCCCTGTGGTCAGCCCTGTCTGTCACACATTGACCTTTCCTGGGTCCAGAGGAGCAGGGCTTTGAGATCAGGGAAGTTGTTTCATCCCAATGGTCTCCATCCCCTCTTCTGAGGTGACCACAAAGGCGATTCCTCGGTTCTAACAGTTTGGAGCTTTGAGTGAATTGGTCTGTTGAGTCCCTTACAAAAGCTGGTAACTATCTTTCATTAGGCTTGATATGAATCATTGTCAAAGTTGTGTATCTTACTTTTTCTACCACCTCTCAACCCACCAGCCCTTTTTATTTGTTTGGAAGAAGTTCTACCACTTAAAGCAGGACCCATAACTCCTGCCAGTTGAGAAATATAGGCATCTTTATAAAGGCTATAAAGCGTTGAGGAGAGGGAGAGAAAAAAAAAGTTAATCTTAAAAGCCAGTACTTTGCTGGGACCAGTTTGGCTCAGTGGATAGAGCGTTAGTCTGTGGACTGAAAGGTCCCAGGTTTGATTCCGGTCAAGGGCATGTACCTTGGTTGCGGGCACATCCCCAGTAGGGGGTGTGCAAGAGGCAGCTGACAGATGATTCTCTCTCATCGATGTTTCTAACTCTCTATCCCTCTCTCTTCCTCTCTGTGAAAAATCAATAAAATATATTTTTTTTAAAAAGCCTGTACTTTTATGTATCCAGTCAAAAATCTTTTATCCAACTTAGTTATTTTAATATGTACTAACATTTTAAAATGTTTGCTTATGTCTTATATACTGTTTTTCAATAAAGAGTTAAGGCAGTTTGCAAAGATAATGCAAAATGTAACCAGAGAATATAAAGTGACATTTCTGGGAGTGGATCTTTGAGGAAATAAGGACATGGGTCAGGTTGAGTTATAAGGATGTTTACAGAAAGGTGTTATTAAGGTTAAAAATCAGAAACTAGCCAAATGTCTCAAATTTTGGTTAAATCAACAGTGCTACATTCATGCAGTAAAAAAAAACTCTGAATCACTAAAAATGCAGTGGAAATATACTTATTGACACCCAAGATTTTGATTATATATAGTAAGTGAAAAGTGCAAGTTCTAAAACAGCCTGCCAAGCATGAAACCATTCTGGGATAGAGGAGAGGGGGGGAGATTCATGCCTGCACAGCTATCTTAGTGTTGTCAGGGGGGGGGGTGTCCCTGCTGTTTTTACCTTCTTCCTTTGATTTATCTGTTTTCCATAACTGCAGTTCCTAAGTTTTTAGAAGTAGGTATAACTAAGATAATTTTTCAACAGGCATTTTGAAATTTTTTTATTTAACCCGTTAATTGCCATAATATTTTGAATTTAATTAAAAAAGGTCCGCCGCTTATATCTAAAACACCTATGGCATACAAATGGTTAAAAATAAAAGAATCAGATAGAAGAGCTCCAGGGTTAACAAAAGTAGAGGCATAAACATAGAGCCAAAAGTGAGTTCAAAACAGAACCCCCCTCCTCTCTCTGCTCCCCAGGCACCTTCATATACTTGCCTGCGGTGGGCCACCTGTCTGCCGCTCAGTTTTCAGCAGCCAAAACAAAGAGAGAAACCTAATCATTTAAAACCCTTCACAGAGAGGGTGATAAATGCATGCCCATAGCTTAGGAGGATGACTTTCTGATATGAAGCCAGAAAATATACAGGATAAGTGGTGAGGAAGAGGAGGGTCACCAACTGGATTGGTCTCTTAGCTTCTGCTTCCAAAAATGACGTTTTAACTTCTGAGAAATTTTTCATTTAGACAGTGAGTTAAAAAACATTTTTACATAAAGGCATGAAGGAAGTGGCTATTTCCCTACTACAGTGCATGTATGTACATACATATTTGTGGTGACCAGAAATGACCAAACCTCACATGCTCTCTGGGGCTCATTAATCATTGCCCAAAAGCCCGGATTGTGTCCAATTCCAGGAAAGCTCAAGGTCAAAAGAAAGAAATTAACACTTCAGAAAGGAAAAGCCCTTCAAGCCACCTCATCACTGAATAATGGTTCTGCTACTGAGTAACTTGGGGCCCATCCCTTAGGTTTTGACTGGGGTCTCCTAGCCATGAACCATGCAGAATCATGCCATGCTTTTATAGATGTTTTAGCTGTGGAAGCTCCTCATTTCAAACCACTTGCTTTTATTCATGAGTACCATTTCTAGATAGGTGGTGTAGAATCAGCCTTTTCCCACATTTCTTCCAGGAAATTTTGTTTTGACCCCGAAGTAGTGGCTCTGATGGAGTATAACTCACTGTATTATTCACTCTATTCTATCACTTATCATATACTAATCTGGATGCTGGGGATACAATGGTGAGGAAGACAGAATCACTGTATTATGAGTTTACATTGTAGCTAAGGGGAGAAAGATAGACAAGAAACCCAATAAAGATAATTTTAGATATTAATTGCTATAAAGAAAAGAAAACAGGGCTAGGTACTGGCCAACAATGTTGGCCATGGGATGCATTAAAGAGGTTGTATTTAAGCTGAGACCTGAATGATGGAAAGATCTAAGAAAAGAGGGTTGCAGGTGGAGGAAAGGCTGTGATTGGGGACCTGAGCTTGATTTGCTGGAGTAATAGGAAGGCCAGTGTGTCTGGAGTGGAGTGGAATAGTTGATGCTAGGGTCAGGGGTAAGCCTGAGCTCAATCATGTTGGACCTTTTAGGCACAGTGAGGTTTGATTGTGATATAAGTACAATGGAAAGCTACTGGAAGGTTTTTAAGAAAAGAGGTTGTTTGAACTGATTTATGTTTTGAGAACTTCTCTTTGACTAGTGTTTGTAAAATGGACCTCGGGATAAAAAAGGAAGTGGGAGAAAGGTATTAGATATGATTGGCCTAGGACTAACAGGAGAAAAGTCATTTTACATCACTTCATCTGTATCGTTCCCTTTGGTAAATGACACTGTGGTCATCTCATCTTTGTATTTACATGAACAAAGTACTGAGGTGGGTTAGTTTGGGTTCTCTGTTTGGGTGTTTGAAGGTAAACCCCCTCTAGTTCAGTTGCACTTTCCTTGGGTTGAATGAAGGTGGTCCTTTTTTAAAAAAAAAATAAATATATATATATATATAATGAATATTTATATTACTAATGAATGGGTTTTCTAATTTCTCAGTTTTGGCAAACATTCTCCAAAATTAAAAATGTCTTTGCCTTACAGCTCAATATTTTTATTCTCTCTGTGAAAATTGTGAAGTATGAATTTTTGTCATGTCATTTTTGGCTTTCTAAATTAATAAACTGGTTAACTATGATCTATTAAAAGTATGTATTTTACATCTTTCAAAACTCTTCAGATGCTGCTTTTGGCAACAGAAGAGAAAGGTTCCTTTCTTCTCTGATGACTGAACTAACATGAGGGCTGAAGTTTGCAGCACACTCGTGAAATCCTAGACAGCTGTACCAATCTCACTCCTTTGCGAAGAGCAGAGCTGAGTGACAGGCGACTTTAATTAGAGTGGCTTTTAGAAGGAATGAGAAAATGAAAACTGCCTTTGGCTGGGGTTGGCTTGACTTGTGTTTTGATGTACCTTTAATTAAATCATCACTATTTCTCTTCTCAGGTATTAATGAGCAAGGGCTGTACCGAATTGTGGGGGTCAATTCCAGAGTGCAGAAGTTGCTGAGTGTCCTGATGGGTGAGTGCAGCTCTGGCTCTGCCAGACAGGACCCTGAGAAGTCACCAGGTTCCTAAATATGTTCAGCACATAGGGAAGGAATCAGGTTGTTCTAAGAGGTAACTCCCAGGAATAAGCTGCCTCACTCACCATTGCCATGACTGCTGGGATCATTGGAAGAGGTACTGAGTGGGACTAGATGGAAAAAAAAATGGCAGGTCCAACACACCACACCCTCTCTGTTTGTAGACTTGGTCCTGCCAGTCCCAGTGATGCTAGGTGGTTCATGTGACCACCACACCCTACTCTGTCTTTAATAGCTCATGACTCCCTTGGTCCTGATTGGAGACAGGCATTTAGTGGGGCACACCCAGGGTCTGAGGAAAGATTTCCTTCTAGCCTACAGAGGACCTCTGGTTTCATGTTCCCTGTGAAAGAGAAGGGGTCATGTGATGCCCAGATAAAATGTATATAAGCAGATAGTTCTTCTGATTCTCTTTGCTTGTAGATTTCAGCCTAGTCTCAGTTGAGCAGCAGAACCTCTTTTGCAGCTGGCCCATCCTATATAATAAAGATGTGATACGCAAATGGTCATTATGCCGTGAAGCATAACGACCAACCCGCTAGCGATCAGATCATGGATCAGCAGAGGGTGGGGCAGCAAGCTATAAGTGGGCAGTGGAGAGCTACAGGAGGGGGCAGGGCAGCAAGCTATGATGGGGGGCAAGAGGGAGCTACAGGATGGTGGGGCAGCAGGCAGAGAGCTATTGGAGGGTGGTGGCAAGCTACTGGCGCTCAGTTTCATGCGCAGGGCTACTGGTATAAATATAAAACTATCTCCAAATGTGCAGTGTTCGAATAAAAAACCCATGAGCCAATGAGCCAAATTTGCCTAGGCTGCAGATTTCCTATATTTTTAGATATGAAAGCACCAGCCTCAGTGTGTTACGGATCTAAATGGCAAACAGATCAGATTGCACCCATCGGCTGTTTTTCATCCCCATGGAGGCCCAGCCATGCACTTGGAGAGTTGGACTGTCACTCAGGGGCCCTGCTCAGGGTTCTGGGCAGGGGCACTTCTCTTGTTTGTATTTGACATTTCATTTGCCATCCCAGTTTCTGAAAATAGTTTCCATATGTAAAGAATTCTCCTCTCTCATGTTGACGAGAACAACTCTCTACCTCTTTTCCAGAGAGTTCCTTGCTTCATGTAGGCAAAACTCTACTGTATTGCTAGCCACAATGAGATCTTTTGCTTGAAACTATGATTATTTTAAGGTACTCCTTGGGAATCTGTTTTGGTTTAGATTTGGGATATGGTTAGTTTATTTTTAAAAATTAACTGTTTATTTTGAGATAATTATAGATTCGCATGCAGTTATAAGAAATAACTTAGAGAAACCCTATGTGCCTTTGCCCACTTCCTCCAATAGTAACATCTTTCGGGGCTTTTAGTGCAGTATCATAACCAGGATATTGATCCAGTTGAGATGCAGAGCAGTTCCATCACCATGAGGGGCTGTTGCGATGCCCTTTCATGGCAGTACCCATTTGCCTCACCTTCATCTCACCCCCATGCTTAACACCTGGCAACCACTGATCTGCTCTCCATTTCTGTAACTGTGTCATTTCACAATAATCATATATATTAATATATATTTTATATATGGGGGGCAATGGTAAGATATGTACACAGATAATAATTTAATAAAAAAAAGATAATCATATAAATGGAATTATATAATATGTAATCTTTTGGATTTGGCTTTTTTTCAATCAGCATAATTCCTTTCAAATTTATATCAATAGGTTTTTTTAAATTGCTGAGTAGTATTCCATTATATAGATACACCACAGTTTATTTAACCATTCACTTGATGAAAGACATCTGGGTTATTTCACATCTGGGGAAATGACAAATAAAGCTGCTATAAAACATTCATATACAGGTTTTTATATGAACATTAATTTGTTTCAGTGGGATAAATACCCAAGAATACAATTACTAGGTTGTATGGTGATATGGTTAATTTTCAAAAAATTCTAATGTAAGGCAGAATTAAGTGTCTAACAGGTCTCAGTTTTCAGTCTTTCATTTCTGAGCAGTGCTTCAAACATTTGTGGAGCTTCTGCTCTTGGAAGCAGATGGTCCAGTGCTAGGGATGAAACTTGAGAAATAGTCATTCCTTGTCTGCAAAGTGTCCAGCAGGAGAGAGATATGCAGCCATGTGAGAACTATGATGTAAAATACGATCCTGGTGCCTAATATGAGCTGGGTCTGGAAGACTCAGTAGTGAAGGAGAGGATAGAAGAATAATTCAGGTTCAGGAAGCATGAGCATTGGCTTGGGGGCAGAAATCAGGGTCTGTGGTGGCTATACCAGAGAGTACTGATTTTATTATTTTAATATTTGAAAGTACTCAGGCTGCGACAGGAATGTTAAAGCTGAAAAGCTGAGATGGCCCCTTTTGCTGAAGAACTTGAATATTTTGCTAAGAGGTTTGCTTTTTTTTCTCTGTAGGAAGTGAGATGTTGTTAAAAGTTTCTAGGTAAGTGGAACTGTGTGTGTTGGGACTTTATCACACACAAAAGTGTCAAGAAGGCAATTCAGAATAGTTTAAAGGGAAAATAAAAGGCATTTATTTGCTCACATAGTTGGTAAGGCCAATATGGCAGTAGGGTCTGGTGGTTCCAGTGACATCTTTACGTTTGTGGGAGCCCTTCCTACTCATTTCTCTGGCTTTCATTATCTGTGACCTCTGCTTGTCTTGTTATTGGCTGTTTTCATCATTGGAATGTTCCAGATAGTCCTGTCTCAGCAGTCCTTGGAGCTTGCATCACTGAGAAGGGAGTGTTTTGTTTTTTTTGTGACACTTTTGGCAGAAGATCCCAGGGCAGACTTTGATTGATCAGTATAGGGCCAGTCAATCACGTGATTAATTTCACAATCTCATACCAGTCACATGACCTGCAGCAGATGGATCCAGATGGCCTGGATCCTGTGCCTGTCTCTGGTGGTCCTCAGTTACCTCTGTGAGGGTGGTAGAGGCGTAGGTTGTGGGGGGGTGTTAGTCCACAGGACCTCGTGGACCACGCAGGGTTATTAACAATGATGGAGGAGTGCTTTCCTGAAATGGCTGGTGGGTAATAGCAAAGGTGTTAACTAGATCAGATGCTGATTTGAAGAGTGTAACACTGGCAGCTTTGTGGAGCATGCATTTGATCACGGAAAGACCTGGAGGAAGAAGACAGTTGCAACATAGTAGGTAGAGCATGTCCCATCAAGGGCTGAACCAAACAGCTGCTCTGAGGTCAGGAAGAAAGGACAGGCTCAAAATGATTGGAGAGAGAGAATCAACACGATTTTTTAACCAACTGGATACAGGCGAGGAGGAGGGGCTGAGATATTTCAAAGATGACAGACTTTTCTGTCGGGCAACACTAATGAAAAGAATTATGACATTTTAGATGGGTTTGCTAATCTAAAAGAGAGGCACTTTAGCTCAGTTGTGTGCTAAGCAAAGAGTAGTGGAAAAGATCTTGTTTTTATCATTTCTATTTGTGGCTCTCAAGCAAGATATTTGTCCTTTTTTCTTCCTTAGTTTTCCCAGGGACAGACAAAATGATCATGGACATCTGAGAATTGTCATGAAAAACTAATAACTAGCAGCTGAAAGTCATGAGGCCTGCTGTCTCTGCCAGGAGGACATTGCAGATAGACTAGAATCCAAACTGAGGTTCAAGCAGAGCTGAGAAATGAACCCAGTGCAAGATCCAATCAAAAGTATAATACTGAATATAAACAGAAATTAAACAATAAAATAAAAATTTTAAAAAGTGGAGCCCTGGCCAGATGGCCCAGCTTGTTGGAGCATCATCCTATATACCAAAAAAGGTTGTGGGTTCAATTACCGGTCAGAGCACATACCTAAGTTGCTCATTTGATTCCTAGTTGTGGTATGTATGGGAAGCAACCAGTCAATGTTTCCCTCTTTCTCTTTCCCTCCCTTCCTCTCTCTCTAAAATCAATAAAAACTTATCTTCAGGTGATGATTTAAAAACAAACAAACAAACAAACAAACAAACAAGTGGAGAATGGTATCTGTGATTCTTACTGCCCGTTAGTGTGGCTTTAAACTTGAGAAATCACCCAGTTGGCAAGCGAGACTCCAGACCTAAGGCCAAGCCCTGCCTTCTCTCCCTTCTGTGAACAGGCTCATCATCAATTCTTGGCATTGATACTAGAGTTGGTTAGCCAAGGGTATAATATAAATATGGCTCCTTTACTCCCAAACCCCTCCCTGCAATAGGTGGGCCAAGTATAAACCCCTTCATTCACTATTCCTTTCATCTATATTCACTGGATGCCTATTACATCTCAGGCACTGTGTAAGATTTGGATTACTTGTCAGAGTCTCAAAAAGTGGAATAATATATTTTTATTATTTAAAGTATGGTTTAACATTACAGACTAACTTCAATCACTTTGAATTTACTGTGTGAACTTCTAATACATTAAGGGACTTTAAGTGGGAAGCGGAAGATAGCTAGTGCTTGGAGAACATCTCCTTTTTACTGGTTGAGATTCCTTAAGAAAGCTTGCTAGAGTGTCTCACAGCAAATGCAGCAGAACCTCATCCTCATATCATGCCAAGAGCTACCCTTGACCCCTCCCGGATAGCAAGGAGTCATTAGTCTTTGAAGGGTGAAAAGGATTCAGGAAGGCTTGCAGATTCCTAGAAAAGGAGTAACTTCTGTGTATGTAGTGTCTGGTGTTTTTTCCCTTGAATGCCAAGCGAAGATTAATCTTTCCAAATTTTAGCTTAACATTTTAAAAATATAAATCAGCTATATGTTTGTTCAGGGCATGCATGAATCTCTTTCTGTATATATTTTAAGTAACTTATTTTTGGATTAAAAGTTATAAGTGGTCACAATAGGAAAGTTGGAGATATACAAGAAATAGAAAGAAGAAAATAACAGTCTTGCAGATCAGATATAATCTTTTACTGACCATTATA